CGATCTAAGAAGAAAATAAGGTCTCATAGCATAACCAAAATTGCAGCGCTGTCGCTGCGTCAACTGCGCAGCTAGCAGAGCGCGTGCCTATGCCTGCATAGGTATGTGTATGGAGAAAGGAAGCGAAGAATTCATTGGACTATCAGTTCTTCAAAAAGTTCAGGAGATCTCGTAGTCTAGCTGTCTCGACTCAAACTTTCTTATTTGTTTTTAGAAACTTTAAATGAATTGATAGCTGACCAGAAATAATTTGCCTTGCAATTAAAAACTCAGCATGCTTTTGAAATTAATTCAATTAAGCAAAAAATCCAAATCTCGAAATGCGCTTCAACTGTTTGCTAAATAGAGTAGTGCAAAGATTTTGCTGACACCTAGCAGAATGAGCTGCTGGCTAAGCCAGCCAACTGTAGAAGCTTACCCATACAATGGCCAAGATGATTTGAAAAACTCGCGCATCATTTCGCGCAACAAATGACAGCCGACTGACTGACTGACTGACTGACTGACTGACTGACGGTTTGGCTATATGCTGTGCTGGCTAAATGGAATACATAAATGTCATTTATTCATTTATGCAAAACTTGTAATAATGACAACTGCGAGGCAGCGACGAAAAGAGAGAGAGAGAGAGAGAGAGAGTGATAGAGAGAGAGGGGGCAGGTGGGCTGCGCGAGAGGTCGTCAGATTCGTGAAATCCGTGCAAGCGCAAAAAAATTTGTTGACTCTGATGATTTTCATGGCGCCCAACGATGCTGCTGTCAAAAATGTTGTGTGTTCGCGCTCCCCCCACCACCCCCCAAAATGTTTTCCGGCTAAGGTGTGCAATGGCTACCGCTGCCGCTGCCGCTGCCGCTGCTGCTGCGGCTTGATGTGCCGCGCAATGCCAGGCGATTTGACTATTAAGCTCTACATCTGCCTCGCTCCCTCTCTCTCACTCCCACACCAATGCATGGTTACTGCTGCTGCTGCTGCTTCTGTTGTTGTTGTGCGGTAATAAAATTCTTAATGTGCCATTAAATCCTTCCACTGGCAACGTCATCAGCGCGTCATGACTTTTGTGAGCCGCCACCAACGACAACGACAACAGCAACGACAACGACGTCAACACCGCCTCGGTATGGCCAGGGCGAGTTGTCTTGGAATTCCGCCAAGCCAAAGAAATCTAACGAAAATTTTGCTACGAAATGGCACGTAAATAAATTGCAAAGATTTGTCGTCTGTTGAGGATGCGGACTTGGCACCCACCAACAACAACAACAACAACAACAGCAACGATGGCAATAACACCTGCCCCATAGACCTGAGACTGTTGTGCGGTTTACCCCAGCTCCAGCTCCAGCTCCCGCTCCCGCTCCCGGTCCAGCCTCTCTGCCAGTGGCAAAAGGACAACAAATGAGTTAACATTTTTGGCGTCGCTGCGTAAAAGCCTTGGCAATCGTTGACTCTGCCTCCTTCGTAAGCACTCCTCACTGATGACAACTATGCCTCCCTCCCAGCTCCAGAATATTTATATGTACATCTCCAGCAGTCCTGATCTCCAACTCCTTCCGGCTCAGCCATAAGATTCGCCTCTTGCCCGCTGGTTGCTGCTGCTGCTGTCATTATGATTATTGTCATTTGGTTGAGGTGATTCAATGCATTTAGATTGCATAATTAAGTAAGGCGCGTTCATTTATTAAACTCTCTCTTCAGAAACAAATTGCAAATCGGATTGGAGCTGCCGAGATGTAGGCCTCAGTCGAAGTATATCTAATGCATTATCCTGCTTTAAATATAGATAATGGTTATTAATTTATTTTTTTATTTTATGCGCAATGAGTGAATTTTTGTAAATGTAATATTGGTAAAAATAAGTAGTTCCAAATATATATTTTTTCAAGACTAAAAAACAGAAAGCAAATATCATATCGACTTTCGCGAAGAAATAATAAATAAATA